CCAGGACAGGTGGAGCTACCCTGTCTCAAAAAGACCCCCCCCCCCCAAAAAAAGCAACTGCACCTTTTCCCGGTACTTGATGATATCAAGGAATTAATATCATGTTTTAAATTACTTTTATTCATTTTGTGGGGGAGGGGAGACAGTACCCATTTGGATGTCAGAGGACTTGCAGGAGTCAGTTCTCTTTCAGCATGTATGTCCTAGTCTGGCAGCACTATTCACTGTGCCTGTGGAGCATGAGATGGTATAAACAGTATACATGTATATAGTGCTGAAGAGTATGTCAACAGTGCTGAAGGTGAGACCCTGGTATAGAGCAAGGGAGGTCAAAGGGACTAAAACCCCAGCCTTTCCAGGTCACGGCCCTACCCTGGGGAAAACCACGACCTTTCCTAATCCAGCCAGTGCACTGAGCACTGGGGGTGGAGGCGTGGTAGTGCTGCTAGAGGATGAGGGAGAACTATGCCCTGAACTGCTGTCTCCCGGATTGTGATGTGTGCTAAAAGCAATTTAGAAGAGATCTTTAGTCTTTAATAGAGGGTCAAAAAGTCAGCCATTGTGATTATGTCGTCTCCTTGGTAGTAGGAACATAGGCGGCAGGTGACATGTGACAGTCTTCACCCCACACACCCAACAGGAGCCATGCTGGGTAGCAGTGGATGCTGCAAAACAATGGGGTTTTCTTCTATGCACAGGCGTGAAAAGGGTTCCAGAATATATTAAGTGAAAAAAAAACAAAGTGCAGACCTCAGGAAGCGATGTGCTGTCATCATATGAAAGAAAAGGAAAAAATAATAAACCACACTGGAGCGAGGACCCACATCTGCTAGAAGTCCCTGGGTGTCGGATCACTGTGCAAGGGATTCCCAGGGAGCACCTTCTTGCCCAGTACACCCTAAATAACACCAGCTTCGCTTTCATTTGGGGGGGGCTGTGGGCAGTGCCTGCTCTTCTCCCCCACCCCGGGGGGAGGGGGGTTGAACAGACCAGCTTCCCTGGCGCTTAAACAAAGGCCTGTAAATGGCCTCCCCTCTAACCATGCTGGTAGTCCCAGAGGAGGCAAATTCCCAACACCCCAGGGGCCTGCGGGTGAGAGGTTCAAGGCTTCTGAAGGCTGGCTGGGGAGCACGGAATTTGGCGCCCAGAGCAAGCCCGCTTCTCTCACTTCTGCCCTTCCTTTGCTGCGGAAGCAAGAGGAAGAAATGGAAGGCCCGAACTGGGGGTGGTCTCCCGCAGGCCTCCACCTGGCCCAGGACCTCCCTCACCCCCGCCCCGCCCCGCCCTCGCCAGCGGGGAGGAGCGACGGCCCCGACGGATCTTCCCCCCGGCTTTGTGCTCCATCCGAACCCTGCAGTCGCCGCGCGCCGCCCCGGGTCCCCAAAGGCGCTCATTTCCGGACCGTCGGTCTCCCGGGTCGCTGCGGCTGCCTTTGCCCCGGCACTTCCCAGAGCCGCTACCTCCCTGTTCGTGGCCGAGTTACTCCCCAAAATGCCCGTGGACTTCACCGGGTACTGGAAGATGTTGAGCAACGAGAACTTCGAGGAGTACCTGCGCGCGCTCGGTAAGCGCTGCCCGAGGTGCTCAACACTGGGTGCTCCCTCCCGGCAGAATCCCCGAGTGTGACCACAGGCTGCCAACGGGAGCACCGGATCTGTCAGGGTTAATGGGTGGCAAGAGTCGGCTAGCTAGCTCTGGAGGTGGAAAATTTAATCAGTAGATCTGGCTGGAGTTGCTAGTTTTTGTTGTTAAAGGGCTAGCAAAAAGGGCAAAAAACTTTGTTTTCAAAAGAACAAAAACGTAGGAGAAAAGGGACAGGCTGTGCAGTCAGTGCAACGTGAGTGGGGAATCCCAACATTGCTGTTCGGTGGAACAGCGCCCAGGGGCCCTCTGCCAATGGAACCATTCTGAGTTTTCCTACCTACTCTCTGCGGGCCTATCTCCATACCCCTTGCAGATGTCAACGTGGCCTTGCGCAAAATCGCCAACTTGCTGAAGCCAGACAAAGAGATCGTGCAGGAGGGAGACCACATGATCATCCGCACGCTGAGCACTTTTAGAAACTACATCATGGACTTTCAGATTGGGAAGGAGTTTGAGGAGGATCTGACCGGTATCGATGACCGCAAGTGCATGGTGAGGACCTGGGAAGCCCTGCTGCCTCCTGCCCCGTGGTCTGTCCTAGAACTGGGCTAGGTCATCCAAATGGAGCAAGGGCCAGGTGTTGGGAAGGACTGTGGATTTCCCCTCCCAGCCCCAGGGTAGGCAGAACCCACTCTTCAAGCTCTGGCTGAGCCAAACGGGATGGTCCAGTTGTAAAGGCCCCAGTGTGGTAAGGCAGGTGGATGCTCAGACACACGTGACCTCACGGAGGCCCACCCTGTCTGTGAGAGAGATAGGAGCAAGTAGTCTCAAAGAACTGGAGCAGTATGTGCCCAGTAGAGTAGCACAGCAGAGCAGGGGGAGCTGGATTCCTGGATTCTTCTGGAAGTTCCCCTGACCTGACCACGCTGCAAAGCTGGGATTTGGCCTTGGTCTTCCCCTGGTTCGTACTGACCACCCAGCTTCTTTCAACCTCTCACCCAGTTCCTAACCAGTGGGCCAGTGCCCAGCAATTCCCTGGGCCAGAGCAGGGCGATGGGGGAGGCCCCAGTCCCTCCTTCCCTAAGGGTGGGAAGCTGGTGACCCCAAGACCCCAATTAGTACTGCGCTGGCCAACTCCGGAAGGTCAGTTTCAGGACTACATTAGTGTTCTGGGTTTCTGGGAGGTCAGAATATACCCAGTCTCTCTTGCATCATCTTGGGTCCAAACCTGGAAGTGCTCAAACACCCCTCCAGCCCCCCCACCCTCAGGCCCCATTTGCCAAGGGCATTTAAGGTGGGTCTACTGTATACTCTGCACAGCTCAGAGAAGGAGAGATTAGGAACAACATACTAAGTCAGACTGAGAGAAAGAAAGCTGCAAGAGATGGGATTTGAGCCCATATGTTGAAGGCCACACCCCACACTTTGGCAGGCTCTTCTTCCTACAGTCTTTATGAAACCAGTCCCCAAGGACTGTGGCTGAAGGGGAATAATGAGCCCCAGGTGGGCAACTCAACCTCACCTGGTTTATTCATGCCAAGGCTGGTATCTGACTCTACTGTTTGGAGTGATGGGGAGAGAGGAGTCAAAGAGTAGTGACCCTGGAAGAGCCACCTGTGTGAGAAAACTACAATTGTAGGGCAGTGTCAAGCCACGCCGCTTAAGTCTCCAGGCACCGGATGCTTAGAATCAGAAAGGACACTTTGAGGTAGGGTCTGCTTTTCTTGCCACTATGGCAGCTGGTGGAACTCTATTCCATAAGAACAGCCCAGCTCCCTCTGGGGGTGCTGTCATATAACTCATCTCATTATTTGAGGTAACTGCAATGCTAAATATGTTGTCTTGTTCTTAGCTGACCATCTTCATTGATCACCCAGTAATACTAGTGAATACTCACTAGGTGCCTAGTGATGTTTATATTTTACATCAATTCAGGAACTCTTCACAGTCCCTATTTCAAACCCCCACCTTATAGGCAGGGTTTCTTGACATGTGGCTTGGGATTGGGGTTCTCTGGGGGAACAGAGGAAGGTTCTGAATGAGCAACATGACTCCCTTCTCTCACACTAGTCACCACATCAGGCACAGACAGTAGAGCACAGCACAGTCCCTGACATCTAAGAGCATAGTCTTTGTGTGGGGCAGACATAAAGATCAAGGCCATGTGCTCCATGAAGACAAGGGGAGGTGTGGGTCAGGCTATAGGGATCCTGGGTATCTGGCGGAGGTCACCTCTATACTAATTGGACAGGAACAGAGTGAGAGAAGGGAGGATTTAGCATGCAAAGGAGGGACTGATGGCCGCCTTTTCTTAGACTAGATGGTAGGTGAGCAAAAGAGGAAACCTAGTAGTAGCTCAGGGTGAATGCTGGGAGCTCAAGCTTGTGCTGGGCTGGGTGTTGCTGTCGTCTTTAGGACTTGGGAGGCCCACTCCCAAGTGGACAGCCATTTTCTCATCTTATCATTATCCACTGGGAAGTAGGATTGTTAAACTTAGGGTCACAGTCTGATGCCTCAGGAAGCCAGGCTCAGATACCAAATAATAAATAGCAGAAAAATGAGATTTATTTAATGTGGACACATTGGGAAGAGGGACAGAGAGATCCAGTGATACCTCCTCCTCCCCTGTCCAATTTGGAGTCCTGAAGTAAGATTAAGGTTTAAATAGAGAATCAGAGATGGGCATAGCTATGCAGTCTTGGTCAGGTTGTGGTCCTACACCCCCCACCCCCACCCCTGTGGCTCTATCATTGTTCTGTAAGGCAGTCTAACAAGTGGTAAATCTCTGCTTCTCCTCTGTCAGGCTTTCTCTTCTAAGATGAGATTCCTGGGGGAAATTCCAGTTTCTTGGGGCCCATTATTTCAATACTCTGATAGCCAAAATAAAGGATACAGGTGTCTTTTTAAAATACTTTTATGTTACAGGACGGCACTAGCCCTCTGCTCTTCTAGAGCCATCCTGGGGTCCCCTGAAATGCAGAAAATCCCTTCCTGGGAGCTGCTTCTTGGAGAGTGTGGAGGTGTGGATCCCTGTGAAGAGCAAGATTGGCCCTGGTATAGGATAATAGGTTTAGTGCAGTTGTTGAGTCCAAGGCTCATATGGGAACACAGCTGAATTCCAAGGCCACCTTGGCTGAGATCTCTGAGGACCCCCAGGTGTCCTGGGTAATGCTGATAAAGACAACTTCTACCAACCACCATGACTTCTGCCCCATACTCAGACCCAGGAGTCACCGCCAGGCGGCATGCTTATAGTGGGATACCGGAGTCTCATTCTGATTTTGCCTTATTCATATATGGGCTATACTCATTCCTTGCTTTGGGGTCCTACAAGCATTTCATGGCACTTCCTCTCCTGTGTCTGAGACTGGGAAGGGGAAGACAAGAGGAAGTGGTTCAAAGCAACCAGCCACACTGTAATGTGAATAGGGCAAAGGTGCACTCCTATTTGGTCTGGGAGATCACAGACAGCTCCTCTATCAAGTTAAGTCTGAGCTGAGGCTGGGAGGACAGACAGGAAGTATCAGGTAAACAGGAAAGAATGAAAGGCAGGCCAAGGGCAAGAAAATAATGTCTGGTAAATGTTATTTCAGACCTGTTTCTTACCAGTTTCTGAGCTTATCTTTGTAGTCAGAGGGGCAGCGAGATTTCCTGGGTGCTCAGGCCAGTGAAGGAGGGTGGCACATCTGTGGGCCTTTGCACCCTCATGCATGGTCGAGGCACAGGACTGACGGGGTACAGACCTGTGGACAGGAGAGCAGTGGTCAGGGGAGGTAAGACAACTTCTACCAACCACCATGACTTCTGCCCCATACTCAGACCCAGGAGTCACCGCCAGGCGGCATGCTTATAGTGGGATACCGGAGTCTCATTCTGATTTTGCCTTATTCATATATGGGCTATACTCATTCCTTGCTTTGGGGTCCTACAAGCATTTCATGGCACTTCCTCTCCTGTGTCTGAGACTGGGAAGGGGAAGACAAGAGGAAGTGGTTCAAAGCAACCAGCCACACTGTAATGTGAATAGGGCAAAGGTGCACTCCTATTTGGTCTGGGAGATCACAGACAGCTCCTCTATCAAGTTAAGTCTGAGCTGAGGCTGGGAGGACAGACAGGAAGTATCAGGTAAACAGGAAAGAATGAAAGGCAGGCCAAGGGCAAGAAAATAATGTCTGGTAAATGTTATTTCAGACCTGTTTCTTACCAGTTTCTGAGCTTATCTTTGTAGTCAGAGGGGCAGCGAGATTTCCTGGGTGCTCAGGCCAGTGAAGGAGGGTGGCACATCTGTGGGCCTTTGCACCCTCATGCATGGTCGAGGCACAGGACTGACGGGGTACAGACCTGTGGACAGGAGAGCAGTGGTCAGGGGAGGTCTCCAGGAGGCCAGATGGGAGTATAAAATGTGGCAGATGGAGAGGATAAGGACCTGAGAGGGAGCCTAAATATGACCTCAGCAGGCACTTAGTGGGGTATCCTTACTGAATGAGGTGTGGCCAGGCAGACATTCTTCTGCAAAGGGAGCCTCATCTGGTGGATGTGTAGAAAGGCTGGGTGGGCTCATCAAGCGCAGAGACTTCCCCACTGCCCACAGCCTCCTTCATCCATTACTGTGCAGTATCAGACAGGAGACCCACCCACAGGGCTTTGTCAGGGTGTGGCTCAGGCAGAAGGGTACCCTGTGTCCTGAAATCCGTGTTTCCTACTCCCAACCGAGGCAGACCTCAGGAATCATTCAGGTCTTCATCCCCGGTTCCCTTGAGAGTGAGTGGCTTCTGTGGGCAAAAACACTGAGCCTCAGCTGGGAACCAGCAGTAAAGTCTACGTGCTGGTGGCAGCAGGGCCATTTGTCATCCCACAGTGGACATCAGGTCAGGGTTTCCCTGGAGGAGGCTGCTTTGTTCGCTCAGGACTGGCACCGCCTCCCCTGGCTATGGTCTCCCTTGGAATCCAGTGTTGAACTCGGGATGACCCCTCTACGAGGCCTGCCTTCCACTCCCAGCCCTTGGCCCACTGCCACTTTCTTTGTTTTTGTTATAAAAGGGAAGGCGGAAAAAATGAAATAGCACAAGAGTACAGAAAGAGCTCTTCCTCTTGGCCTATTCCCACCCCTCCAGAGGTTATCACTGCTACGATTTCTGGTGAATCTATCCGGAAATCCTTGTTGCATATGTAAGCTATCTACCAGTTCATCAACTGGCCAATATAACTGCCTAAAGCTAGAAGGGAGGAAGGAAGGAGATGGGAGAGGGGAAGGAAAGGAGGGAGGAAGGGATGAAGGCCAGAAAGAAGGAAGGAACAGAGGGAGGGAGGGAGCGAGGGAGGGAGGGAGGAAGGAAGGGAGGGAGGGAGGGAAGGAAGGAAGGAAGGAGAGATGGATGGAGGGAGGGAGGGAGAGATTCATTCTGGCTCATAGTTACAGGCTACAGCCCTTCACGGTGGGAGTACCATGGCAGGAGTGATCATGTCCTGTCCACAGTGAAGAGGCAAGAGCGGTGAGTGGTGCTGGCGCTCTGGTCATTTCCCCTTTTTATTCAGTCGGGGACCCCAACCCA